TTTTTTTTTTTTCAATGTGAAGGACTGGTCTGAATTATAGGTACAACCTACAATTACTGAAGAATTTTATAGTTAATTGAGGCATAATGGCTGAAAGGAAAGAATTCAAAGATCTGACACTGAAGAAAAAGGTTGATCTTGTACATTTTCTGGAAAGCAGCAGCCAAAGAAAGATGGTGACACATTTGGGTGTTAGCAAGACCACAGTTAGCAACATCTAAAACCGTAAACATGAGGACTTGGAAAGATAAAATAAGGAAGGCAGAGACCTACAGCGAAAAAGGAGAAAAACTTCCTTCCATGAAGTTACATTAAACTGGTTCAAACAAATGATGAGAGTAGATCTCTCCAGAAAGTCTTGTGAGGTGAATCCTTGAAGTTCCATTAGAAGTTGTGGAAGAGTTCATGAAAAAGTTCCTGGTCTTCTCCAGAGGCTTCAAAGATGACATCCTGAATGCTGAAGAGTGAGGACTCTTTTTCAAGGTGATGCCTGACAGAAGCCTCATCATGAGCAGTGACAAATCTAATAGCAGAAAACTTTCCAAAGAATGTTTCATAGTTCTGCTTTGTGCAAGCTCAACTGGAGAGAAACCAAAGGTCCCTGGTGATTGGTAAATTGGCAAAGCCAGGTGCATTCAAGAACCTGAAGCCTGAAGACTTCCCCATCACTTGGAGATCAAACAAATGCCTCTGGGTGACTGGTGCCCTGCTTGAGGAGCAGGTAAGGAGTATCAACTGAGAAATGAAGAAAAAGAAGCAGTGTATTCTACTGACAGTAGACAACTATCCTGGCCACCCACAAGTGAACCATCTCACAGAACTGACACTGAAATTTCTGCCTGCAAACAGTACCTCAAAACCCAACTCTTGACCAAGGAGCATAATCAAAACATTTAAAATGTATTACTGAGCCCAGCTCCTGCAGTGGGTCATCTGAAACACAAACCTGTGGTCCACCTGTGGAAGCAACTTCACCTGCTGCATCAGTTAATGCTTTGGAAGCTGCCCTCTGGATCAGTTTTACTGAGAATAAAGTTCAGCCAGAAATGATACACAAGTGTTTCAAGAAAGTTGGACTTGTCACAACCCAAGAGCATGATGTTTTGGTCCCATCAGACAGTCCATTTCCCATGGCAGAATTTGAAGATTTTGAAGATTGTGTTGCATTGGATGATGAGGTGGCAACCTGTAATGAACCTGACCCAGAAGCAATTTACAAAATGATATATATATATATATCCACTAGACCACCAGGGATTTCCAAGCAATATTGACTGAAGTAAAGACCATGAAGTGCATGAAGAAACTGATGAACTGGAAGAAGCAAATGAGGATGACAGAGAAACTTCAAGACTATAAAAGAAGGTGGCATCTGCTAATGCAGCTGAGGTCATTTGCTATGGAAAAATGCCCAGGTATGTTGAGTGACGTAGCCAGCACTGAGAGTGTTCTCTCCACTTAAGTTTGTAATAAGAAGAAATAGACCAAGATTGATTCTTTCTTCAGAAAGAATGAGCAAACAGTAAACATACTGATTTTGTATGACACTGTATATATGATTTTATATTTACATTTGTAATAAGAATAAGAAACAGGCTCAACGCCCGTAGCCCAGTGGTTACAGTGCTAGCCACCAAGGGCTGGCAGGCTCGAACCCAGCCTGGGCCAGCTAAACAACAATGACAACTGCAGCAACAACAAAAAATAGCTGGACATTGTGGTGGGAGACTGTAGACCCGCTACTTGGGAGACTGAGGCAAGAGAATCACTTAAGTCTAAGAGTTGGAGGTTGCTGTGAGATGTGATGCCATGGCACTCTACTGAGCGTGACAAAAAAAAAAAAAAAAAAAAAAAAGAAACAGACCAAGATTGACTCTTTTTTTCA